AGTAGTATAAATCATTGAAATCCTCCTGCTCTGTTGACTTTAACCACTTTACTGTTAGTAGGTCCGATGAATCGAAAGCTTTGGAAGCAGTATTTATTGCAACAACTTGTACGAAAGTTTATAACACTACGACTTCAATCGATCCCTGATTATCAGTATTACGATGGTTAAATACTCAGTTATTTCTGGGGTGGGGGGGAATTAAGCGACATAAGCTTCTTCTTCTTTTTTCTCCTCTCTGTACTTAATCGTTTGGCAATATTTTTGTTCTTGAATTATAATTAGGAAGTTGCTGTTGAAATTTCTTTGTGTTTATTGTCTTTAGTCACTTTTCCTGTGCCAAATCTGACCCTGTCCACCCCCATTTTTCTTTTTTTTTTCCCTACCTTTTTCTTTGCTTCTCCGTTTGTGCCTTATTTACGTCTGTATTATCAAACTGTATATCAGCTCACGAACAATACGGAGGGCTCACGCAGGCACATTTTTAAGTACAAAATTGTAATTCTTTGCAAACTGGTGAAGGGACCCACTCTGGTAATTTGTGTGCTTTTTTCCAAAAGAGTTAATGATTTGAGAAATATTTAAACAAGAATATAAAGGAAAATCAAGCGTCTTCTGTCCAGGGGTACTTAACCGATTTGTTACAGTGAGCAGCCAGCCCATGTTTTCTTCCACATCAAGCAAGCTACAGTTCCTGTATCATATGTTCTTTAAGAAAGTCTAAATAATTTATATTTGTGACAAAAAAACCACTCTTAGTGAGAAATGTGTTGTACATATGTTTGGACATATGTAATAAACTTTGTTACACAATGACTTTCATCTCTGCTGTCTTCATAAAACTATGCCTGATGAAACTGATCTATTAGAACTGCTTCATCTTTTGCTCTACAAACATGAGAAGTGCTCGAAATGCTCTGAAGTTTCTCTGCTCAAAGTGTAAAAGCACTGCAGGAGAGGCAGGAGCTAAAATGCTAATCATGCTTTCAGAGGTGTGAGAGGAATACAAAGTTTGTCCTAATACCTGACCTCGTCTCCAACATGACACAGTGGCTTCAGCATCAGTTCAACTAAATGTTCACAGGAACCACATCTACAGTGCAGCCGGACGCTTGTTACAAAGTACTTTTGGCAGCAATTGCAGCCTCGAATCTTTCTGAGTATGATGCTATAAGTTTGGCATTTTTGAGCAGTTTCTCCCATTTTTATTTGCGGAACCTATTGAGCTCCATCAGGTTGGATGGGGAGCGTCGATGTACAGCCATTTTCAGATAACCAGAGATCTGGGCTCTGTGTGATTATGGTCGTCATCCTGTTGGAAGATGAACCTTTGCCCAGTCTAAGGATCGAGAGCACTCTGGGGCAGGTTAACTTTAAGTACATTGCAGCATTCATCTGTCCTGCTGCTGAAAAACATCCCCGCAGCATGATGCTGCCACCACCATGCCTTACTGTAGGAATGATTTTGGCCAGGTGACTATTGGTGCCTGGTTTCCTGCATGAAATGTTTGGCATTCAGGCCAAAGAGTTCAATCTTTGTTTCACCACTCCTTTTGCATTTTGTTTCTCATGGTCTGAGAGTCCCTCAGGTGCCTTTCAGCAAACACCAGGCGGGCCCTCATGTGTTTTTTATTGAGGAGCGGTCACTGCATCTGGTCACTACCAAACCATGTAATTAGGCATACCTCACCCTTTCCCAGCAGATAGTTTTTAGGCCTGACACTTCTTCTTTCGACCTCCATTTATCCAGTTTCCTCAAACTTTTAAGGACACACTGCACACTATGCCAAGATGTGCCAAATTTATGGGTAATCGCTCTTACAGAATCACCTTCTTGATGCAATAATGCTTTTTTATGCCTGCCAAACTGTGTTATTATTGACATTTGTCATAGATTCAGCTAAAGAAATGGGAATAAATAATGTTTTTGCAACAGGCTGCTCATAACAAGCAGCTACATTCATTAACCTGCTCCAGACCCCAGATCCTATAGTGCCCATGTGTACTGCATCTGTAGTACTTTCTTCTTCTTTATTAATAACAAACATGTCTGCATTCATGGCCAACCCCAAATTAATACGCCAATGATGGCCTGTAGTAGGAAAATGCAGCACGGACTAACAGAGTTTCTCCTCAGTTTCATGTTTTCTGTTGAAGTCATTAGAGGAGAATAAACTTCAATATACATAAACCACCATTCTCACATTACACACACGCACTAATAAATCTTTGCTCTGTGTATATTTCTTCCTGCGTGGCCTTCAAAGACACCACTCCACATAATATTCTAACATGGAAACCTTCCTCCTGCACGATTGAATTATCCGATGTTTAAATGAGGGCATCACGGCTACAACCGATTGCGGTTCTCCTTCCAGTGAGGTGAAGCAGTTTCATGCTCTGCGTTTCGCTTCCTGCAGATAAATGTGAACGGACTAATAAGACAGGAAGGCTGGATCAGGGTTCTTCAGTGCAACAGCAAACAGTAAACCTGAGTGTTATTTTAGATTCATTTGGCTCTTCCAAACAGGATAATAAAATTTCGGCATCACATTGATGTCCATACCTACTCAAATTCTGCCTGGAGCTTTCTGGTGACCACCGCAAGGACAAGATGATCTTTTGCAGAAAGAGGAGTTTGCTGTTCCTCCCTCCTCTGGGTCAGAAAGACATGTTTTATGGACATTTTGACCTCACATTTTATTTAATTTGCAGCAGACTGATTCTGGCCTTGAGACTTCTGTATGAAGTTTGGACGTTCCTCCTACTCTGTCTGCATAGGATGTTCAGTAAATTGTCAATTCTAGATTATTTATTATGCTTTTCTCTATAAATTGTCGATACACCTGAAACTTCACTTTTACATTTAACTGTGTTTACATTTTAACTATATAAAGCTCATAAATCCCATTTTTAATATCAATTTTTAACTCCAAAGTCAAAACTTAAAACTTGGGTTTTAAAAAAAAAAACCAAAACAACAAAAAAACCAAAACAACATTTTAACATTTGCTCATATCTACAGCAGGGGGCAGTCAAGCACTGCAAAGTGTAGGCAGAAAACCCACACGGGGTGGTTTTCAAAAAATGCTTTCAAACTCACACCACACAGGACAAAAGGAGAGCTGATAAACGAGACATCTTCCTTTTATTTAATAAATAATTTACATTACAAACAGCTGGCATGTGGGATCACATTTACAACACAGTTTGATCTTTCTGGCATTTCCCCCCATTCAGCTTTTTTTTGTATTTTTTAAACCCTTACAAGTCAAACAAAAGAGCTAAATGTCAAAGAAAACATAAAGTGCTTTAAACTCAAAAACATGAACGCCCCAAAAAAATACTTTGCAACAATCTCTTCTGTGGGTAAGGTGGGCAGTCTTGTTTGATACTAAACAACTAACGTTTATCACTGCTACACAGACCGATGTGTACGCTGTACTTAGTAAAGACTAATCTGTTCTGTGGCGTTCATGTTTTTGCAAAAAGAAAAGAAAAATCCCTTTTCAAATGAAAGAAAAACAGAAGTTCACATTCACTGAAACATCTTGTGTACAAAAAACTGGAGTGATAAATTCAAAACACAACAGGTAATATACAAATTTAAACTCAACAATACACAAAAACCATGTACAGTCTCACATTACACATGTAGAACCATTTACTGTGAAACACACAAACACAAATTACATCTATCAACACAAGATTCAACATTACAATCATCAGTTTTTTGTATGCGTTTTTTTTTTCTTTCCCTTTTTTGTTGCCGTCAAACTGCACTGATACATATTCCAAATAGCAGTAGTAAGGCCTGCCAAATACTTCAGTGTAAAAAAGGATAAATGACCATTAAACTGCCCCAGCGGTAACGGGACCTACGGGGGAGGACTTGCACACTAACAGATACTGCAGCTGAGAGCCAAAGTTCAGCTGGAAACCTCGAAGCTTTATTGTGAAACAAGAAAAAGCAAAAAGTGAGACTGCAGTAACAGAAACCAATGCTGCCTTTACAGTACGCGTTACTGTAATTCACCCACAAACACGAGTTATATACACAGGAGTCGCAAACTGTTTTTAAAGGACTGAAAGATGAAAATTCAGCTGTTTGGAAAAATGTTGGCACAAGGGCTTGTTCTTTGGCAATGACTTAAGCCATGAAATCACGTCTACAGACATATGCTTATCGTTTACTCACTAAGCCACAGTCAGCTCAGCACGCTGGTAGTCTATAAAAATGCTCAACTGACTAGAGGTGATGTCTTTACAGCGAGTACTAACGGCATCTACACCACCGACGCTTAAACGGAGATTTAAATTCACAAAATGCTCTCGAGGAGGTGTCGGGCTTTGATTGGCTGCTCGACCTTCTGTAAACGCTTTAAGTGCCCTTAAACAAGTTTGCACTTCTAAACCTTCTTCGCTACATTCACATAACCGACCTAAAAGTACAAACGCTGTCTGATCCACACGTCAGCGTGTCGTGTGACGGCTCAAAAGGAGGGGAAAAGGTTGCATGACAGTGAAAAATGACGTGCAGATGACTATTTTTGAGTTCCCTTTTTGGAATTTGCTACTTGGCTGATAAAGAGTCCACTAGATGAACTCGAGCGCTTCATCTTTTTCTATTTCTGAAATTTTAGGTGCAACACAAAGACATGGGAATGGAGTTCTCCCGCTGGAGGTTTGTTGTCTGGAAACTGCTGCACGCACAAACACAAAATTAACCACAGATGCTGAATTCGGCACACATATTGTACTAACGCACACACACAACCTAACATATGACCCATTAATCTCCACAGCAGACAACTGGAGACGCTGCTCTGACATCCTTTTGGCTGAGTGTTTCTTCCAAAAGGCTCCGGCTTTTCCAAAGCTGGAAACTAATCAAACATAGAGCTGCTTCTGGCCTAAGGTTAACAAAAGCCTCTGTCAGGTCCTCTCGTTTTGCCACATGAGCCATAGAGCTTCACTGGCTTGGCACCAATGAAGGGGGGGGGGGGGAGGGAGGAACAGCAAACTCCTCTTTCTGCAGAAGATCATCTTGTCCAGCTTCCCATAGGTATGCAGGCCCCATTGAGAATGTGGGATTTAATCCCAGGTGGATATCCTGAGCTCAGCAGTAGCTGGGCTCTCTCACCGCTGCCCTCTTCAAAGACCAATCCAATGAAGCAGCTGAATACGTGTGATGATAGGTGGGAGAACGCTGAGCTCGTCCTGTCATTAAGCTGACGTCAAGACACGACAATAGCACTAAAATGAGACTTGGGTCGGGGATGACCTACTTGCAAGCTACCTGTCAAGTCACAGAACCAGAGCAAAGAGGAGCCGATGTAGGACGCAGCGATGGTGCTCTAATGCTCCTTGACAGACACGCCATGAGGACACTGTTGTAAAGACGCTATAGACAGACTGTCCACAATAACACAGCGAGGAGGTTGACGAGGAAGACTGAAAGTACATTTCTGCCCTTCTGTTCTGCACTATTCATTTCGGCATCCTTTTCAAAGATGTGGTATCTTTTGCTATTTGAATGGAGCATTTTAACATCCTCAAAAGCGTAGTAGGCTGCCATGGTGAAGTTTATGTCTCCGGACGAGAGGAGGTCGAACACGCAAGAATGGAAATAGAGATCCTCCACTGGAAGCCGCTCTTTGCACTTGGTCTTTGCAGACTGGTAGGTAAAGCCGTTGGCACCGGTGCTGCTCCTGGTCCTGCTGACGCTTTGGGCCTCCGCCGCTCGAGCTCTGAAGTTCCTAAAGTCGATGCGCTGGTTGGCAGGACAACCGTGAAGACACAGGTACAAGTCCTGGTTGTCACCTTCCTCCACTGAATTCACAACTTCTTCCGGCATCCGCACGGCAAAGGTTAGGTAGCGGCCTACCTGCCGGACTACGATGGTTGTTCCGATGTATCTCGCCTGAATCTCCACATGCTGCCCGGCAACCTTCTCCACCACACGCAGGGTGTTCGCTCCGTAGCGGTCGCCTCCGTTCTTTGAGCCGTCTGCAAACGCAGCCGGCAGCTCGTCTGTCTCTGCGTGGTACATCTTCTGGTCCACACATTCCTGGAAGTTCTTAAAGATGATCGTCAGCTGCAGAATGGAGAAAGAAATCGCATCAATATTCAACATTCATTTTACGGTCAACTTTTACGATTCTCAGGAAGTTATCAGTGACCATTTCCCTACCTACTCACATACTAAATCCTAGTAAACTGCAGTAAATGTAAACATCGGAATGAAAATGGGAAGTGCTTATACTTTTGCATTAAGAACAAGTTTGTGCAATCTACCACAACGCCCCACTTAAGAGTCACATTTCAGGGCTGGCTCAACATGAGGGAGGCCATGGCAAACGCCTTCAGAAAACACAAGTCTCGGCCATGTAAAAATCAGGCCTCAGTTTGCAGACACAAAGACGATCCATTCATAGTACTGAAAAACCTGCCTGTGAACCCCCAGAACTATGCTCCATGGAGTGGCGTCGGGCCAGGACACAGCGATATACTCTGCAGCTAATTAAGTGAGACTGGCCAGGACTCTGTAAGCTTGGTTTCATCAGGACACCAATGAGCCTTTGTGTGAACATGGACGGCCTAGGAACTGGGATGTCTGCTCGTTTGAGACAGGGGACACAGGGTGGGGGTCCACAGTATACTCTTTAAGCTTGACAATTTATCTGCTGCACCAGCTCCCTCTCTCTCCCTCTTTCAATTTCCTTTATCCGAGCCACAATAACTTCTGCTTTTTCCCAGTTTCCTTCTTAAATGTTTAATAAAAGCAAACAAAAGAAAAAGGCCTGCCTTATCTACTGGTATGAAGATGGAAATAACCAGACAGTTTTATTTGCTGTAGCGAGAGCTATGTACCAACACGGAGCTCTGCTAATGCAGATCTTTAACCAGAAGGGCCTTGTTTGCACAGGTGGCATTGGCTGCTGCTTTGTTTTCCCTTTGTCCAGAATCATGATCTTTAAAAAGCCGTCTCATTTGCTTCCAAGAATAGCAGTACAAAAATGCAATTACTTTAAAAGCTAAAACCCCCCACAAATGCTTAATAGAGTATGATTAGAAACCTTGATTACAGAAAATTATAGTTTCTAAAAATGTGATTAGGGACAAAGTCCTCTTATACCTCAGTCTGAGTACTTCAGCTATGATCCTCAGCAAACGACTCAGGTCCTCAACCAAATGGTGCTGGAGCATTGCCAAGTCTAGGCCAACTCCTATGTTATGGCCTCCAGTTTGACCATTTTAGGGGCGGCTATCCAAACTAACCAATTCACTATTCAACAAAACATCAATAATGACTTGTGCACTGCTGATAAATCTGAAAGAAAATATCTCATAATGTGGACAAAATAATCTGCAGTTCTGTGCTCACTGTGTGCTACAATAAGAAACCCAAACATCAGACTGAGCTCAACAGAGAATGAAGCTTCACATGCGACAAAGCACAGCTGTTTTAATACTAACATATGATTCATAAAGCTTATCAAGATCTATGAGATGAAGAAGCCCAGCCCAACAAATCTCAAAGATCTTGATAAGCTTTATCAAAGATCTTCATTTTAAGTATCAAAAGATTTTGATAAAGCTCATGGAGCCCTTTGAGATTTGCTGGATCGAGCTTCCTCATATCCTAATTTAGAACTCATCCAAATAAGCAGGATCCACAGTGTGACAGGAGGAACACAGGCTCACAGCACCTTTCAGAACACATGGAATTTGCTATTACACCTGTATATGGCAATCTTATGTGCAATAATGTGTAGAGGGGGAAAAAAAATAAAGATAAATAAATAAATAAATAACCCATCTCTTCAAAAAGGACCTGCAGGTCTTCCTGTAATGCTGATCTAATGCACGTGTATGTAACATGTTCCCCAAGCAGATAAGAAAGCAGGGCAGTAAGAACATCTACACACCTGCGGTCTCTGCAGCTGCCCATGTATATGTCAACAAAAGGAAATCATCCCAGCTCTTCACACAGACACATATGTGCAGCTGGTTAATTTGTACTAACATTTATGAAACCCTACAAGCAATATTGCAAGGATCAACAAATTATTATCTTAAAACACCTTTTCAAGTCACCTACAGAGAATGCTACAAAACCCAGTTTTGCTTGACAGTCCAAATCCTTCCATACCATATATTTATACAGAACCAGGCAATGCTTCCCATTTTAAAAGCTTTACCCAGCACATTTTTGCTACTTAATTGAGTCAATGATAATAGAAATTGTTGATTGCGCTCCCCCCCTTTAATTACGGAGGTAACACAACACAGACAAGAGTCCTTTTCTTAACTGCGCATCAACCAAAAATTGTTCACCAAATTTTGAACAACTTCTTAGGAATGTGTAAATGGCCCTTTAATTGTTAACAGTGGCCCTAGCTGACTGACTGTTGGCTCATCCCAGCGATGCAACACACATAGCATCCTTTGAACTTCTTCAAAACACACTTTCAGCAGCACAGCATTTAGTCTGCACAGGGTCTTTTATTTTGAAAAGTGACTGGATGATTGTATACCATTCCTGTGTCAGACATCTTGCCCTCTTGTTCTGCTCTGTGTAGCTTTTAGTGTATTTTTAGTAACACAGAACAGAATCCCTTCTAGAATACTTAGTACAGCACATTTTGTGGAAAAATAAACATTAGCTTGATTAAGGATGATCAGTTCGGCATTGAGCCTCGATAACAATCCACTGCAGTTAGCTGTAGTGCATCCAGTGCAGTCTCTGTGGGGTACTCTGCACTGTCACAAAAAACTGGCACATGGACCCTCTTGGATAATGGAATTTACATCACTCAGATGCAAGCGGACTGACTGGATTCAGAAAGAAAAAACTAGCGCCACTGATGAATAATGCAATCATTGTTTGTCAGTGGTGCTAGTTTCAGTCATTATGCAAATGTGCTGTTTATAAGGTTGGGGAAACCTGCAGTCAGCTGAGACTGAAGAAGTCACTTGGATGAGTGAAGAAATGTTTCTGCCACTGAAAACGCTACGTCCAGAACAAATTCAACTTTTTGGGATTTTCTTACCTGGATGAGCATGCATCAAGACATATATTCAAAGCCTTAGCCAATCAGCTAGTGCTGCAGTCATACACAGGAACAACAGAGGGTCTCACCTTGCTTGTGGCGGTGGCGAAAGAGCCTGGTACTACGGGAGTGTTGGTCACCTGGACGGACAAGTATTTGTTATGGATGAGCGGCCAGGCTCCTTCCACCTTACATGTCTGGAAGTCGTCGCCAAAGGTTCGGAGGTGTGGGTCTCCAAAAAAGCCACAGTGGGTATAGTTAGGTGGCGCTGTGTTGCGTGGAAGACTGCGCTCATAGTGGCACACTTCCGGGCCATCGGAGCGTTCTTGGCTGTCAGTCATAACCGGCGGGGGTGCTGGAGGAAGCGGGGTCCGGGTACGTGGATGGGAAGTCGGTCCTTCCTTGGAGCAGTTGTGCTGGCTCATTAGGTCCTCTATGCCATGCTGTGCAGAGTGATATGTCAAGTCACCCCTGCAGGTACGTGCAGTCCGACGTACACAGCTGTTGTACGCCCGCAGAGCCGTGCAAAACTCCTCCTCCGGTCCAGAGTTTGAGGTGGAGGCCCAAAATTCAGAGTTGCACTTGAGGATCTTGCACTGCAGGCTCACTGTCAGGGAGGAACAACATTCAGTTGGAGCAAAAGTAATAAAGTCATCTAGAAACATGACACTTTAAAGCACACTCTCTATCCAAAAGGCTACTGTTGTTCCTCCTTAAGTTAACCATTTTCTTTGTGCATACTATACTGTAAATGATAAAAAAAACAATCTATAGAATTAATAACAATTACAATAACATTAGATGTAATTTTCATCCAATATATACATTTTATATGATGTAGCCACAAACAAAAGCGAAGCCTGGAAAGAAGGTAGCTTCGCTTCACTTCCCTTTCACATCCAGTTGTTTCCATTTCTCTTTCTTCATATGCACAGGTAAAAACTCGATTAGGGCTACTAATGTACACGATAACCGATTAATAACACTACTCCTCTGGGGTCTCCAGCTTTGTTGCAATATCCGGCGAACTTTTGCACCAATGCTACTTTAACATTTTCCAGGATGAATCATTGCAACACCATGTTTGAATACTATCACCTTCTATTAATAAAGCATTTATTTATTTGAACTGGCTGTGAGAGGTTTCCGGGGGGTGGACTACCAGCACTTTGAAGTCAAACTTTAAACAACTCAAAGCGTCCACACCACCCATCCACTTATCAAGATGGCAATAAACTAATCTTGATCTCAGCTATCAGCGTATTATCACTTTGTTGTGTAACGACATGTGATCAAAGAAGAAAACCGATAAGGCTTTGCGCTAACTGAGCTGAAAAAGTGACTGACTGCAGTCACACAAATATATAGTTAATAAGATACATTATTTGGCTTCTACGGTGCAGTTCTCGGCTTGAAAAAACACTTTGAAGGAGCCAAAACCCCGAGACCCGTCCCATCCCCCAACAAAACACTTTTGGAGAGCCGCATGCAGCTCCGGGAAGACCTTTCAGTGGTTTTTGTCTCAAAACTAATACCTGGCAAAATGTTATTTTTAAATGTCAAGATTTCTAACAATAAATAAATATGAAAATTTTATATTTTCAAATTAAAAACAATTATAAACGTACAAAGTAAACGCGTCGCTGCAATTCTCTAGATTTTAGTCACTTTTTGTATAGAGTTTGGTGGATTTTTAACTAAACGATAAGGACTATTATAAGCTTTCATACTAGTTTTCGGATTCCCGCTAAAACGTCACTTTTTTTTTTAAAAATAAAAACAAGTGGTTCAATAATAACAATGATACAAAATACAATATTTCGGCAAATAAAAAGTATATAAATCAGGCAACTTTGGACGCCAAGGTGGAGAAAAATCAATGCTAATAACTTCTGGAGATTGCTAGCACTGTGATTAACAGTTACGTGAAGTCATATAAACCGTGTGTGTTGGCGTAAAACGCGCTTGTTGGGTCTAAAAGGAAAAAGGAAGAAAACGAAAACGGACAAAAAAAAAAATTCTTACCAGAGGGGAAGAGTGAGAAAAGCACGGCGAGGACTCTGCACACTTCAAGCGCCGAGGGTCTCCCTCTTTCCCCCATAACCATCCATCCAGCTCGGGCTCGCACTGTACTCCTCTCCCTGGTCGCATTAAGGACAAAAAACAGTGGAGGACAGTTAGCTCAACTCGCCAAGCCTTCGCTAAGAAAACACTAGAAAGTCCATGAAAACGGTCTGAAGCTGGGGGTCCCGTCTTCTCATCGCCGCCTGGTAAGAGGCTGTTTTGTTCCTCTCGTCGGTAAAAGTTAGGCAGCTAGCTGAAACAGCTCCAAGCAGGCAGGCAGGCAGCCGAGCTATCCTTCCTTTTAGGGAGTGCCGAGGAGGCGAAGCCTCTGCGGGCCATCGGACAAGCTGAACCAATCACGGCTGCCCGTTTCGCCCTTAAACCCCCACCTTTCTGCGAGACTCAAATTACACCTCAGTGTGCAGACTTGTTAGACGACGACCGACTTTTCATGACCCACAAAGTGGTAGTCCACACCGCCATATAAAAGAAAGATCTGATTTGTTATAAGATCACAACAACAACCGCACCGTTTAAAGGCTTGAAATGAAAACTGTGTCATGCCTCCACAGAGCGTGTGTGGGCAGATTAACAAGAGGAAAACCACCAACAATACGAACAATCATCAGTTTTTTTTCTTCATATCACTTCTCGAAAAACTATACATCATTTGCATCACCTTAAAATGCTTGCTACAAGCCACGTTAACCCTTCCACCCAACATAGCCCACTGTGGGCAATGTGCAAAGGTATTATTGAACAAGATGGTCTCATTACCACAAATACCCAGGATTGAGTGAAAAGTTGGGTCAAAATGATAAAGCATACATGTAATTGTGGGTTCATCTCACTGATTTGCTTCCTAATTTCTCCATTGTGGTTTTTAATCTAGGGAAAAATCCCCATCACAGATTCCCATACCCTGAGCTGATCCAAAGATAATTGGGTTCCTGGTACACATAACAAGGAAAACCATTAAACTGATCGTGTTTAATATAGTGGAACGAGTGAATGTTTGGAGATTATCTTAGCTTGAGGATCAATATCTGTACACTGACAAAAAGTTGAATCATTTAATAGCGTACTTTACTAAAATGTTACCTAACTCCATGTATTCAGCCATACAATTCAGCCATAAGCCATAATTTTAAAAACAATTACTAGGAGGGTGAAAAACAAATTGCACAGTATTTGTTATTGCAAATGTTATCTTCTTACAACCATGTTTCAAGGCATTAACTTCAAAATAAGCATTTAACCATCCGCTATGTGTAATGTGCCTGTAATTATATGATGTAAACTCATCCTCAGGTTGTTAAATGACTTAAAAAAAGAGAGAGAGCGAAACAGTGTGGAAACACCGCAGTTCTTTGATATCACAGCGGCCATAGTTTACCCAGCACAAGTCATTTAAAGCACCCGGGCATGAGGTACTCAAACTTACAGTGAGCCCCACCTGATTGTAAGAATTTTGATGGCATTTTACTACTTAATTACTTCACTGAAATGAGAACAAGCAGCCCCTCGTTGCAGTGAGCATTTCCTCCATGTTGGTTCGGTGGATTTAAAAGCATTTCTCCAAATGACAAGAAGTGCAGGTGTTGATCCGCTCCTCTTTTTGATTAGCTTTGAATTGTGCTGATGACACATTAGTGGAGCATTTCATTTACACCAAAATATGTACCATCTTGCTCAGGTTGTGGCTGGCTGTACAGTATTTTTCCACAGAGCGCTGATTGTCTTTGTGGTTGCTGTCCCTCTTGC